CAGAGAAGGAATAGGAGAAAAAGAGAGTACAATACCTCACTCGAGGCCACACTCACTCAAAGCCACACTCACTCAAAGCCACACTCACACGAGGTCACACTCACACGAGGTCACACTCCAACTACAAATCCCTTAACCTAAAATCAACTCTAGACCCCCCCCCCCTTGTCCCTCCTCCCCCCTCTCCCTGCTGTGCGTTGAACTATTCACTCAGCTGACAAATGAACAGCTGAACACCCACGTGTTCAATGACTTCTTGGTCGTTTATCATGGGGGGGGGGGAACAGATTATAAACAGATCTTAAAGCTTAAACTTTAAGCTTTAAGTCTAAGCTTAAAGTTTAAGCTTTAACTTTACATTCATTCTTTCATACTACGGAGCCTATACATCAACCACTACGGTGTCACTGTCATAATATTTGCTGCTGACTGTAGTGTTCAAGAGTAGGGGGAGAGGGGGAGGGAGATGCGGTTACTGTGCCACTGTAACAGCGAGGTCACAGTGCCATCATAACAAAGTCAATGTCACCGTAACAACGAGGTCACTGTCGCACTGTTAAAAAAATATGGACACTGGTTAACCATTCATATAATCAGCTACTTTTTGTTGAGGCTAGGTTAGGCCAGGCTACTGTTAGGTTAGGTTAGGTTAGGCTACTGTTTGGTAGGTTAGGTTAGGTTAGGCCAGGCTACTGTTAGGTTAGGTTAGGTTAGGCTAGGCTACTGTTAGGTAGGTTAGGTTAGGCCAGGCTACTGTTAGGTAGGTTAGGTTAGGTTAGGCTAGGCTAGGTTAGGCTAGGCTAGCTTAGCTTAGCTTAGGTTAGGTTAGGTTAGGTTAGATTAGTGTTAGGTCAGGTTATTTAATGCTAGGTTAGATTAGGTTAAGTTAGGTTAACACACTCGACACAAATCCCCCATGTGGATGAATCAAATCGGAAGGGATAGAGCTCAGCGGCACCAAATAAATTCTTAGTCACATAAAACTACCTCTTGGCGTCGTCAGAGAGTGCAAAGTATAATTGGCCGTCTTGAGGAACGGTAAGATATAAGACAGACAACAGAAGCAGCAGGAGGAGGCGACAAGGAAGATATAAACAAAATTGAATTAAGTTGTATAAACAAAAGAAGAACCAGTGAGAAAATATCGAGGCAGTGAAATGGGCCATATCCTTAGCACACCGACTGGACCATATCTTGAGGTTATCTTGAGATGATTTCGGGGCTTTTAGTGTCCCCGCGGCCCGGTCCTCGACCAGGCCTCCACCCCCAGGAAGCAGCCCGTGACAGCTGACTAACACCCAGGTACCTTTTTTACTGCTAGGTAACAGGGGCATAGGGTGAAAGAAACTCTGCCCATTGTTTCTCGCCGGCGCTTGGGATCGAACCCAATACCACAGGATCACAAGTCCAGCGTGCTGTCCGCTCGGCCGACCGGCTTCCATGAAGAGAGGTTGTACAGTGGGATCGAACACGCGTTCCTGGAGTCTCCAGAGAGAGAATTTCTCATAGGTATTCATTCCATTCTCGTGAATTCCTTGTGGAAATGAAGAACTCATTCCACTGAGTGGAACTAAAGTTCCCGAGAATCTCTTGATAATCTCCCCAATTATGTTGTTGCTTAATAACGGTTTATTAAGACGATAGAAGAACAGTTAAGAATTTCCGACATTAACCATATACACATTAAGAAATTCACGAGAAATCAGGTCAAATGTATTGAGATTCCACATAAAACGAGGTTAAATTGACCGAAGTCTCGAACAAAACGAGGTTAAACGTATCGAATTCCTGAAGAAAACGACGTTAAAAGTGTTGAATTCCCCAAGAAAACGACGTTAAACGTGTTGAATTCCCCAAGAAAACTACGTTAAACGTGTTGAATTCCCCAAGAAAACGAGATTAAACGTGTTGAATTCCTGAAGAAAACGACGTTAAACGTGTTGAATTCCCCAAGAAAACGAGATTAAAAGTGTTGAATTCCCGAAGAAAACGACGTTAAACGTGTTGAATTCCCGAAGAAAACTAGGTTAAACGTACTAAACTCCGGAAGGAGGTTCGAACGTGACAAAAAGAGAGAGTCACGAATGTTACATTCCTTTTGGATAGTTGGGCGCCCCTTGCCACCTCTGGCGAGGAGGAGGAGGAAGAAGGGTGAACACAAGAAGATAAGAAGATAAACTCCTCAAAGAAGAAAGAAGGAGGAGGAAGGAGGAAGGAGTAGGGCGCTGAGGACTCCTAGCGGAACCCCGTTAATAACACCGGAACTTGCCTCTGTCCTTGTGATTCATAACCCCCCCCCCCGCCCAAACCCCGCCCACTACTCCTCGAAATACTTCCCCAATCCCACCCCCCCCCCCCACCATCAATCCCCCCGTCCCAACCGTCACTCCCCCACCCAGACACAGACACAGACAGACAAGAGACAGACAGACGTGATCAAGAAAGAGGTGTACCATGTTCTCACGACGCTGCTCAAATGATCAAAGGGAACAACAGTTCTGGCTCACAGGTGGTTCCAGCTTCCTCTTGTGGCTCACAGATGGCTCCAGCTTCCTCTTGTGGCTCACAGATGGCTCCAGCTTCACCTTGTGGCTCACAGGTGGTTCCAGCTTCCTCTTGTGGCTCACAGGTGGTTCCAGCTTCCTCTTGTGGCTCACAGGTGGTTCCAGCTTCCTCTTGTGGCTCACAGGTGGTTCCAGCTTCCTCTTGTGGCTCACAGGTGGTTCCAGCTTCCTCTTGTGGCTCACAGGTGGTTCCAGCTTCCTCTTGTGGCTCACAGGTGGTTCCAGCTTCCTCTTGTGGCTCACAGATGGCTCCAGCTTCCTCTTGTGGCTCACAGATGGCTCCAGCTTCACCTTGTGGTTCATAGATGGTTCCAGCATCCTCTTGTGGCTCACAGGTGGTTCCAGCTTCCTCTTGTGGCTCACAGGTGGTTCCAGCTTCCTCTTGTGGCTCACAGGTGGTTCCAGCTTCCTCTTGTGGCTCACAGGTGGTTCCAGCTTCCTCTTGTGGCTCACAGGTGGTTCCAGCTTCCTCTTGTGGCTCACAGGTGGTTCCAGCTTCCTCTTGTGGCTCACAGGTGGTTCCAGCTTCCTCTTGTGGCTCACAGGTGGTTCCAGCTTCCTCTTGTGGCTCACAGGTGGTTCCAGCTTCCTCTTGTGGCTCACAGGTGGTTCCAGCTTCCTCTTGTGGCTCACAGGTGGTTCCAGCTTCCTCTTGTGGCTCACAGGTGGTTCCAGCTTCCTCTTGTGGCTCACAGGTGGTTCCAGCTTCCTCTTGTGGCTCACAGGTGGTTCCAGCTTCCCCTTGTGGCTCACAGGTGGTTCCAGCTTCCTCTTGTGGCTCACAGGTGGTTCCAGCTTCCTCTTGTGGCTCACAGATGGCTCCAGCTTCCTCTTGTGGCTCACAGATGGCTCCAGCTTCCTCTTGTGGCTCACAGGTGGTTCCAGCTTCCTCTTGTGGCTCACAGGTGGTTCCAGCTTCCTCTTGTGGCTCACAGGTGGTTCCAGCTTCCTCTTGTGGCTCGCAGGTGGCTCCAGCATCCCCTTGTGGCTCACAGGTGGCTCCAGCATCCCCTTGTGGCTCACAGGTGGCTCCAGCATCCCCTTGTGGCTCAGAGATGGTTCCAGCTTCCTCTTGTGGCTCATAGGTGGCTCCAGCTTCCTCTTGTGGCTCACAGATGGCTCCAGTTTCACCTTGTGACTCACAGATGGCTCCAGCTTCACCCTGTGGCTCACAGATGACTCCAGCTTCACCTTGTGGCTCACAGGTGGTTCCACAGCTTCAACCTGTGGCTCACAGGTGGTTCCACAGCTTCAACCTGTGGCTCACAGGTGGTTCCACAGCTTCAACCTGTGGCTCACAGGTGGTTCCACAGCTTCAACCTGTGGCTCACAGGTGGTTCCACAGCTTCAACCTGTGGCTCACAGGTGGTTCCACAGCTTCAACCTGTGGCTCACAGGTGGTTCCACAGCTTCAACCTGTGGCTCACAGGTGGTTCCACAGCTTCAACCTGTGGCTCACAGGTGGTTCCACAGCTTCAACCTGTGGCTCACAGGTGGTTCCACAGCTTCAACCTGTGGCTCACAGGTGGTTCCACAGCTTCAACCTGTGGCTCACAGGTGGTTCCACAGCTTCAACCTGTGGCTCACAGGTGGTTCCACAGCTTCAACCTGTGGCTCACAGGTGGTTCCACAGCTTCAACCTGTGGCTCACAGGTGGTTCCACAGCTTCAACCTGTGGCTCACAGGTGGTTCCACAGCTTCAACCTGTGGCTCACAGGTGGTTCCACAGCTTCAACCTGTGGCTCACAGGTGGTTCCACAGCTTCAACCTGTGGCTCACAGGTGGTTCCACAGCTTCAACCTGTGGCTCACAGATGGTTCCACAGCTTCAACCTGTGGCTCACAGGTGGTTCCACAGCTTCAACCTGTGGCTCACAGGTGGTTCCACAGCTTCAACCTGTGGCTCACAGGTGGCTCTACTATCTACCACCATTGACGAGTACTTGCCCGCCATTACAACCACTAACTACAACAAACCACCAATACAATTGCTACTAAAAAGCTCCTTCCTTATTGCCAATAAAACTGCTATTGGTCCACTCGCTCTTAACAACACACCAAAAGGATGCAAAGTGCAATATAGCGTTGGGGACATATTTTATTGCGCTAATTTTGAGAAGCCCTGGCGGCCTGCTGGGTACCCTGGCGGCCTGCTGGGTACCCTGGCGGTCTGCTGGGTACCCTGGCGGCCTGCTGGGTACCCTGGCGGCCTGCTGGGTACCCTGGCGGCCTGCTGGGTACCCTGGCGGCCTGCTGGGTACCCTGGCGGCCTGCTGGGTATCCTGGCGGCCTGCTGGGTACCCTGGCGGCCTGCTGGGTATCCTGGCGGCCTGCTGGGTACCCTGGCGGCCTGCTGGGTACCCTGGCGGCCTGCTGGGTACCCTGGCGGCCTGCTGGGTACCCTGGCGGCCTGCTGGGTACCCTGGCGGCCTGCTGGGTACCCTGGCGGCCTGCTAGGTAGGGGAGGATGCCCTGGCGGCCTGCTAGGTACCCTGGCGGCCTGCTGGGTACCCTAGCGGCCTGCTAGGTAGGGTAGGGTACCCTGGCGGCCTGCTGGGTAGGGGAGGATGCCTTGGCGGCCTGCTGGTAGGGGAGGATACCCTGGCGGCCTGCTAGGTAGGGGAGGGTACCCTGGCGGCCTGCTAGGTAGGGGAGGGTACCTTGGCGGTCTGCTAGGTAGGGGAGGATACCCTGGCGGCCTGCTGGGTAGGGGAGGGTACCCAGGCGGCCTGCTGGGTAGGGGAGGGTACCCTGGCGGCCTGCTGGGTAGGGGAGGGTACCCTGGCGGCCTGCTGGGTAGGGGAGGGTACCCTGGCGGCCTGCTGGGTAGGGGAGGGTACCCTGGCGGCCTGCTGGGTAGGGGAGGGTACCCTGGCGGCCTGCTGGGTAGGGGAGGATGCCTTGCGGCCTGCTGGGTAGGGGAGGGTACCCTGGCGGTCTGCTAGGTAGGGGAGGATGCCCCGGCGGCCTGCTGGGTAGGGGAGGGTGCCCCGGCGGCCTGCTGGGTAGGGGAGGGTGCCCCGGCGGCCTGCTGGGTAGGGGAGGGTACCCTGGCGGCCTGCTGGGTAGGGGAGGATGCCTTGGCGGCCTGCCGGGTAGGGGAGGGTGCCCCGGCGGCCTGCTGGGTAGGGGAGGGTGCCCCGGCGGCCTGCTAGGTAGGGGAGGGTACCCTGGCGGCCTGCTGGGTAGGGGAAGGTACCCTGGCGGCCTGCTGGGTAGGGGAGGGTACCCCGGCGGCCTGCTAGGTAGGGGAGGGTGCCCCGACGGCCTGCTGGGTAGGAGAAGGTACCCTGGCGGCCTGCTGGGTAGGGGAGGGTACCCTGGCGGCCTGTAACACCCATGACCACCCCCCCCCCTTAGAGTTCACACCCAGGGAAGCCTTCTCCAAGAGGTCAGCCCAGATGACCTCCGGTTTATCTTGTATGTTGATTAAAAAAATTCCTGGGTTAGTCTTAGTCAGCATAGTTTCAAGTATGTAATATTTCATGCAAGGGAATTAGACCCCAGATTCTTATGTGTAAACATCCTTGGGTCTCCCCCTTTTGGCCAGGTCAGAGGTCAGTCACACACGTAATTAATAACTCCTCTCTTGAAGAGTGTATGGTGAATGTCAAACAAGCTTATTGAAATATTTCTTAAGTGTTTGTACACGTGTGGCCGAGCTTTTACATTCTTGGGGCAGGTATCAACAGCAGATCTCCCCCTCCCCCTGTGGGGGTTGTATATAGAGGTCCTGTTGGGACTTAGGAGGACAGAGTGCCGGACACCGGGGTCCAGAGAGGGCTGTGAAGAACATCTCAGCCAGGGAGAGACAGGTCTTAAGGTAATGTGTGTGATCTCTGAAGTTTTGTTCCATGTCCAAATTTCTTAACTTTTTGCCAGTGTTAGAGCAGGATTTATAAGTGGTGATTGACATAATTTTGGTCTTTAATAAACTCATGATAAATTTCCCGTTTGTGTCAATTGTTGAATCCTCTTAGCCTTTTGGATATAGTGGCTGACAATGACAATGACAATGACAATGACAATTAATGACAGTCATAGAAAGTACTCTCCAAGTCAAGCAATGTTTCTTGCCTCGTTGCTTGATATAGTCTCAATGGTCAAAGGCAGATGGTGGCAGCGTATTTAATCCTTGTGTTAGCATTTCCTTATTGGCAGTGTATCTTTTGGTTCCGGAGTAACCATCATATGTCAGCTCACATTACCGTGTTTCATAACAGTGTTATCAAGTGCAACCGATGGGGAAGTGTTACTCAGGATAAGTAGTGTTTACATTATTAGTTTAGTGTTCCATTATAGTGGTGTTCCATTATAGGTGTACATTAGAGTGGTGTTACAATTGGTGGTGTTACAGGCCTGCTGGGTAGGGGAGGGTACCCTGGCGGCCTGCTGGGTAGGGGAGGGTACCCTTGCGGCCTGATAGGTAGGGGACGTAGAGGGGTTGGTGGCAGGGGGCACCAGAGGTACAAGGGGTGGTGGCAGGGGGGTGGTGGTAGAGGGGGTGGTGGCAGGGGGGTGGTGGTAGAGGGGGGTGGTGGCAGGGGGGTGGTGGTAGAGTGGGTGGTGGCAGGGGAACACCAGAGGTAGAGGGGGTGGTGGCAGGGGAACACCAGAGGTAGAGGGGGTGGTGGCAGGGGAACACCAGAGGTAGAGGGGGTGGTGGCAGGGGAACACCAGAGGTAGAGGGGGTGGTGGCAGGGGGTGGTGGCAGGGGAACACCAGAGGTAGAGGGCGGTGGTGGCAGGGGAACACCAGGTGCGGGAAGTAGACCAAGGACATTATGTGGGCGACCGTGAGGAAAGAATATAATGAAGTATTTAAAGACAGCTTCAACATGTGAGCGTTTGAGTAAATGTGTGAGTGAGTGAGTGAGTGAGTGAGTGAGTGAGTGAGTGAGTGAGTGAGTGAGTGAGTGAGTGAGTGAGTGAGTGAGTGAGTGAATAAGTGCATAGTGATTGAGCAAATGATTGACATTCAATTTTTCATCGACAACTACCAAATCTAATTCATTTCAGTTGATTTCCTAGTCTCCAGTTTCCATTCCCGCTGCGTCTCGCATTGATTACGTCTTGAACTACTTGGTCCATACCCCCCTTGGGATCTAGCATGTCGTGATCATGTCTACCCCCCTATTCCTCCTCCCCTTCAGTGTGATGATACACAGTTCCCTTAGTGTTTCTTCATCTCTTGGTCTCGTTGCTTCAGAAAACACGTATTATTGGATATGTTGAAACCTTTTCTAGTTTCGGTTTATGCAGTTTCAAGTGGGGGAGGGAGGGGGGGGGGTTATGTACCGGGGCTGCATACTCATGGGTTGGTCTCACCATGATGTATAAAATAAAAAACTTCGGAATGTATTATAATAAATTTACAAGGGCTATTAGCAGTTCGAACCCCCCCCCCCCCTCAGAGGCGTCAAATATGCCAAAACTAGACGATAGAAGAGGTGATATGATCACTACGTACAAAATACTAACAGGAATTAATAAAACTGACAGGGAAGAATTCCTGAGACCCGGAACTTTATGAACAAGAGGACATAAACTTAAGCTAAGGAAACAAATGTGCCGCAAAAATATTAGAAATTTTATTTTGCAAAGAGAGAGGTAGACGGTTGGGACAAGCTAAGTGGGGTGGTGGTGGAGGCCAAGACCGTCAATAGTCTCAAAGCGTTATATGACAAAGAGTGCTGGGAAGACGGGACACCACGAGCGTAGTTCTTATCTTGTAACAACACTTAGGTAATTACATTTAAGTAATTACACACACACACACACACACACACGCGCGCGCGCGCGCGCACACACAGGCGATATACCCCTACACTTGGTGTCTATACCTGTGTCAGGTGTATTCACATGTGTATGTGGAGTGTACACATATGTCTAATGTGGAGACATGCAACTAATGTACTCACATGTGTCTGGTGTGTACTGGTGTGTCTGGTGTCTGCACACACGTGTCTGCCGTTCACAGCTGTGGCAGCTGTACCAACAGGTAAGGGTGTCGTCCCCTCGCCGCAACGAAGATGAAAGGTGAATTATAGGTGCGGGCTCACTGACTGTCTGTCTCTGTCTGTCTGTCTGTCTGTCTGTCTGTCTGTCTGTCTGTCTGTCTGTCTGTCTGTCTGTCTGTCTGTCTGTCTGTCTGTCTCTCTCTCTCTCTCTCTCTCTCTCTCTCCCTCCCTCTTCCTGGCCCTTCTTTTGTCTCTAACTTTACTCCTCCTTCGTTCCCCTCATTTTATTTGTTCTTACAGCCCATTTCCCCTTGGAGGGTTATTCTCCTCCCATTAACAAACCCTCGGGCTCCCCCCTCCCCTCTCTCTCTCCCCTCTTCCCCATGGTTTCTTGTCTCCCCCCTTTTCCTAGCCTCTATCCTTCCCCAGCCTCCTCTTCCCTCGTCCCTACCCATCTCAGCCAGCCAGCCAGCCGGGCTAGACGGATTCTCTTGGCACGAGCCTTTGACCGCGTTCTGGGTCTTGTCTCTCCCACCACTGTTGCCAGGTTACCAGGTTCCCTCCCTCTCTCTCCCTCTCTCTCTCCCTCCTGCAGGCCACTTCCCTCCCTCCCTCTCTCCCTCCCTCCTGCAGGCCACTTCCCTCCCTCTCTCTCTCTCTCTCCCTCCCTCCTGCAGGCCACTTCCCTCCCTCTTGGCTACCTACTTCCTCCGGGATCCCTGCCTCCCTCCCTCCATTTCTCTCTTTACATAAACAGTTAAGACTCGAACAAGAACAACAAAGAAATGCCCTCGTGTGCATGTGGGGAGGTTTATACCTGAACAAATCCACAAGGGGGTGTGACGAGGATTCGAACCTGCGTCCGGGAGCATCCCAGACGCTGCCTTAATCGACTGAGCTACGATATGGACAAAAAAGAGAGTTGAAACCGAAGTTTCAACTGAACTTCGGTTTACACCTGTTTCGTTCTTGTCTCGGATCATCGTATTGTCTCC